GCTGTACACTGGTAGTAAGAAAGTATAAAACGTGCGGAGCGATTTTGAATGGATTCAATGGATGATGCTAGGGATACGCCAGGATTCTAGATAGAGCCTGCATACTCAAGTTTGGTGCGAACTAAAGTTTTATACAGGAGAAGTTTAAGTGACAGAGGGGCAAGGAAAAAGCTTCTTCTGAGATAGCCTAATAAGCGATTAGCGTTGTTAGTGATATATTCGACATGGATGTTCCAGGAGAGGTCGTAAGTTATATGAACACCGAGATATTTATTGGTTGACACAGAAAGTAAGGTCGAGTTATTAGTACAGTAGAGGGGACAAGTGTTATTTTGACGGGATACTCTCATGAATTTACATTTAAAGGTGTTAAGTTCCATAAGCCCATCATCGCACCAGCGGATGACATTTTTAATATCGGTCTGAAGAGCAGATATGTCGGAGTCGTTAATGATTCTTTATAAATGACACAGTCATCAGCGAATAGGCTAATAGAAGAGGATACATGCGTTGGAAGAGCGTTAATATATGCAAGCAATAATAGTGGATCTAATACGGAACCTTGCGGGACACCGGATTTGACACGTGAGGTTGAAGAATTAGTTCCGTTAGCGTGAAACAATTCGTAACGGTCTGATAGAAACGATTCTATCCAAGCGATTATATTAGGATCTATGTCAAGTTTACAGAGTTTATGAAGTAGCAGCGCGTGAGGAACCTCGTCGACAGCTTTTGAGAAATCGAGAAATATGCAGTCAGTCCTGGAGCCCCGGTCAAGTGTTACGTGAAGGTCATGAGTCAAGGTTAGGAGTTGAGTTTCACATGGACAAAACCTTCAAAATCCATGTTGCGCTGAGTTAAAAAGGGAGTTTGAGTCTAGAGAATTGAAAATGGTGTAAATTATGTGTTCCAGGATTTTACAAGGAATGCTCGTTAAAGAAATGGGACGAAAGTTTAAACGGTTATGCTTATCGCTCCCTATGTGGAGAGGGATCACCTTCCCTACCATCCGATCCTTTGGTAATTCTCCCTGTTCAAGTGATTGCAAAAATAATTTAGATAAGATAACGCATAAGTACGTATTAGTGTTTTTTTTTAAAAGAAACTTAACATTAATATTATCAATGCCTGCTGTCGTATTGGTTTTAAGGTTTTCAATAATGTTACATATACCTTCGGAGTCTATGATAACAGGAAACGTGGGCAAAAAAAATCATAAGTTCTAAATACCGGACAGTCTGAGGTTACCGTACATGAAAAATATCGAACAAACACATCATTAAACAAAAAGGAACACACGTCACTTGGCACCTCCTCTCCATGCGTGTCCCTTAGTACTATGCCAGGACTAGAAGGTGGGTTAATAAGTAATAACCGTCGTTACAAATAAATAATAACCGTTGTTATATAACACACGAGTTCGGACCAGTGTTGGCCGTAACACGTTACAAATCAGGCCGTTACGAGTGAAGCGGTACTTTTTGTAACGCAGTAAAGCACTCGTTACTTTACAATATAGTAACTGTAACGTACTCATGTTACCTATTTTGAGTAATGGATGAACTAGTTACGTTACTCGTTATATTTTTCCAAAACATAAACAAGATGTAATGTTTTTAGTGTTTTGGGTTTTAGGTAGTATTCTTGTATTCATTTCATATGCCTTCAACATTTTGCTGCTCCCTTCATCACGCAAACAATCCCAATTAAAAAAAAAAAAAAAAATAATGCCCACGCTCTTCGTCTCAAACGCTGTCTTCATAAAAACGAAGTAACGCAAAAATAAATCTTTAACTGCAAGATTAACGGTAAGTCGTTTCTTTTATTTTAAGAGAACGTAGGTTGGTAACATTTTCCTATTATTTTCAAGTGACGAGTAATGTATGTCGCTTCTTTCGTAACGCCTAGATCACTAGTTACGAATTTTCTTGGATATGTTTCTAGATGTTTTCTTATCTGTTATTAAATAAGCCATCGCCAAGTTATCTTATATTTTGTCTTTTCTAACAAAAAGCAAAAACTCTTAGGTGAAAAAAGACAATTTTTTTTAAAACCAGCTTCACTAGCACCAAGCCCCCACAATGCAGCAGCATGAAAAGGAATATCTAATGAACTACACAGCCACATCATAAGCACCTCGTATGTACTTTAGCCATTTTATTTTTTTTTTTACTTTTTGAGCTGATTAGGCAAGTAAACAAAGCTTCGGGTGTAGCACCGATTTCATAGAAATATATGGGCTTCCTAACAATAACACTGCAAATTTCACGGAACTTTGCGCCAAAGCTTCGAAAATTTAAAGACAAAATATAAATACTTTTAGGGCGTAGGTGAGCTGGTGGTAGCTAATCTTGTCGTTTAACACCTAAAACGTGTGCAGAATGAGAAAAAAACTTGTGGTCGAAAGCACCTTCTGTGTCTGTTCCTTCGACTAAACGATATTTTTCTATTTCTGATACAGTCTTGTGTATTAAACGACATGATTATTTACACACATTTTGTTTTAGTGCCTTTAATTGTAGAGACGTCTTAGATGTTATGTTCTTAGCGGGGGGTAGGTCTTTACAATAGACCACCATGATGTAACAGCATCGTTAGTACGCTTAGGCAGATCATGGTAAAATAAAGCATTTTAATACGTACTTTGACTGGACTATATTCGCGTCATGTTAAACGGGAACTAAATAGCATGCATTTTTAAAGCATCGTCGTACTTAAGTGTTTTAAATACTTTTTTTTTAATTACGCGACCAAGGTTTGAGAAGCGTGGTACACACATAACCATTAACAGCGCCATTGTTAGCCACGGATAATCCTTTTTTAGCCTATGCCAAGATGAATGCTCAACCTTCAGCTATAAAACTCACATTCAAATCTCAATAAAAAAATGGAATGCAGTTTTGAAGTCCAGTGCGTTACATTGTACGCATGATTAAAATACCGGTGATTTTATAAAATAAAAATATCAGAAAACATCGCAGTTGTTTCGTCTAATGCCCTTCAATACACTTGAAACAAAAGCAGAACGATTGAAAACCATCAACACTTGCGTCAACGAGCTGTGCGTCAAAGAACTTCGCAAAAGACTTTTTTTACTGTAGAATATAACATAGATCTGTTAAATTATTGGACATATGGGGTTGAGGATAAAAGGGACATAAAATACATTGTATATATTCTGGTACAATTTGTTACAAGGCAGAGTTATTAAACAGGCGAGCAGGTTAACGCTAAACATGATTCTAAACGGGAGACGAACGGACGACCCACTCACATAATATTTACCGAGATTGCGCAGGTTCACTCAGCCGACGACACGCCCTGCATAACACAGCCAATTGTACAAAACCCACACATCTCAAACAAGAGCCCTGTCAATGTCAAGTGTAACCTCAAGATTTACACAATGCCTTCCATGTCCTCCTTTTTACCACTTTCAAAATTAAAAACTTCCGCATCACCGCATCCGTTATAGCTGAATGCGAATAATACCATTTTATAAAGAGCGAATCGTAACCGCCTCTTGAAAAGCAAGTTTTGTAATTTTTTTCTTCTCACTTAACGGAGTAGTGTCCTCCCACCCCGGCAAACAATTATAGCGAAAAAAATATATTGAGCTTCGTTTGAGACGTGTGTGTTTGTCACCCTCCCTTCCATTCTTCTCTGATTTAGAATCAAGTACAAGGTGCCCCTCCAAATATGTAGTCTATTTCTGGTTGCCAAAATAACTTACGCATCATCGAATGCTCAGTTACCGCATAAAAGTAGCGCCAGCGATCCGAGGCAAATGCCAAAGGTTCATAACGCACCCTTGTTTTATTTGAAAGTTCAAAGCCGCTTTTGAAAACTTTTTGTGGTAAAATTGGGGTAAACGACGCCACAATCACATTGGTCGGAATGACTAAAACTTCTGAGATCGCGCCCCTTTCAAATTGAAAGTTTCAGAAAATCACTTATATCTTTTGAGCAAGATACCGGTTAGAATGAGATCTGCAACTCTTCCATCTAGTCAGGACCAATACGGCGATATTTCTACGAAGCCTGGTCATTCGGCACTGCGTACTTAAGTTTCTTGATAAAATAAAAGAAAAAAAAAAAGCTTTTAGTGGAGACGTAGTACATGGCTCTTCTCTGAATTCAACGCTTTCAGAAAAATGTGTCTTAAAAAGCAGTTACGTGACGCACGTTTGATCTCAAGTAAATTGTGCATGTGCTTATTACAGAATATGAATACCATTTATAACAAAGAGAAGCTGCCCCATTGATATTCAAGAGTATACATCGGGACTAATTGAAGCTTATTAGCGTGGTACGTACATTAAGTTCTTATGCTGCAATAGCATGGATCTGAAGTTTACGCCTTGTATATAAGTAACTGGTAAGCTACGCCTCAAATAAATATTTTTTTTAATGCAAGAAGAAAACACATATGTAAAACAAAATAAATTCTAGTACAAAATTCAGTGTTTAGCGCAATACTGATTTAAAGAAAGACATTCTGAGTTGGCGTGTAACCACTGCATGCCCATAATTTCAGGGTTCGGCTCCGTAATAGAAGGAAGGTTTGGAATCACTCCGCGGAAAGCGGAACTTAAAAATACGGTTGATATTTTTCCTGAGTAGGACAAGAATGCCAACGAAAAAAAAAAAGCTTACTGCCCCCCCCCCCCCCCCCCACCCGCCTATTTCTAGAAAACAAATATCGCAATATTTACTTTTTGCGCAACTCATCTTTAGTTATTAGCGATTCCAAAACATATGTTTGTTTAAAGGTATGAAGCCCAACATAAGTGCATTCTCTCGAATCGCGCAAATAAATCTGGAACTGTAAATATTGCGTTTTTTTATTTTCTTTTTTTTACTAGTGGTAGGGGTGTTCATATTGCGCCATCTGTCCTATCCACACTGAAAAAAAAATCTTGCAAACTTTTTAAATATAGCAGCAAATCACCGCAGTAAATATATGGCGCCTGTCGTTTTGCCTTCCTTTGTTTGGACAGCGAGGAGCGCCGGCGGCGTGCAGATTGTGAGGCTCTCGGTGCCCACCTGGGTGGAGAACGGCACGGAGGACTCTGTGCTCCTGGACTGCGAGTACGTGTACACAGAGCGAGACGACTCCCAGCTGGTGGTGAAGTGGTTTCTCAACGACGACCCCAAGCCCATCTACCAGTGGATCCCCGAGCTGGAGACGCGCCACGTGTCCCAGCGGCTGCGCGGCAGACTGAACACGGACTTCACGGTCACGGGCAACCGGTTCACCAAGTTTCGCGCCCTCAACATGCTGCGACCCACCACGGAGCTGAGCGGGAGGTACTCGTGTCACGTGACCTCTCACAGCAGCCAAGACCAGCGGTCGCAACTTATGACAGTCTATGGTGAGTGGCGGCATGAGGCGCCCGAGCACATAGGGTGGGCAGACTGGCATCAGTTATATTACACGTTTTGCACGAACATGTTGCAATCTGTTTAGATATCAACATAAAAAATGTGGCGTATTTGATCAAGAACATGTTTGATCGCTATAGGAGCCTGCGTTCTTATATTATTTTTAATTATCAACAGCGAATTATCAATTCAATCAGACCTTGCTAGATTCTCAAAATAAAATTAAATTATCAATTTTTTTTTATCTATTTGATCACTGCGGTTACGTTTTGAAAGTGCAAATCTTATCTCTTTCGCGGTTATGGTTTTTTGTGAAAAACATTTGGGGAAAAACGCCTCTATATAATCTAACCATAACAGTAGCACATATTAGCGTTTAAAGTTGCGAAATTTAAGTCGATTGAATGTGTTGAACTTGTTATCGAGATTCCTATCGCCTTTTTCAATTCAATATGGACGACGTGTGCATGCAGAAATGTTATATTTCTTGCATGCACACGTTTAGCCCGGAATATATTCAACAACATTGAAAGTTGTATCTTTATTTTTGTGTGCGAAAAGGCTATATGACTAATGTATTGTTACTTGCAATGTTTAATATTTAACTAGCTTTACGCAATAATGGTTACTAAAATGCATCTAAGTAAAACACCCGCTCGCAGTAAAACCGGCAGTTTTAAGCGGATTTGAGAACATGGCATCTATAATGAAATCACGCGTTTTACTACATGATCATAGTTGCGTTAAACAGTTGGCACATCGCATTCTAATACCAGAAACTTTTTTTGCGAATTTTTAAATACAAATTGTGCATGCCAAATCAGTGCATCGACAGCGATTCCCGTTTTTGTTTTTATCGGGACAATAAATGCTATATGTAGATTTAACAAAAACTACTTCGGAAGTTCTAAAGTGAGTTCCCAAGAAATCCAAACTGGCATAAATATTCGTACAAGCGTCACCACCTGCTCACACTGAAGTCGTTCTGAGGCGCTACATGAAGCGCTTTCGCTGTGCGGACGAAATATAGGCGGCGCAACGTGCATCCACTATTGATGACGTAAGAGCATGAAATATGAGGGACTTTTATTGTATGTGTTCGAGAGGGTTTGAGCACATCCAAATATGTGCTCACTATGTGAACACAATCATGAATTGTTTGAATCGGCTCAATAACTGCCCTGCATCAAAACGATGATGGAAGGCTGCTTCCCCGCCAGTACACCCTTTGTGTGGGAAAGCACAACTTAATACCTAGGCGCTACGCCCTGGCGTATACAAGTGCTTCTGTGCTTTTAAATGCGCGCGGAAGACGTGCCGCTTTGTCTCTCGCTTCGCGAATTTCGCTTTGACGTCACGAACGTTGGGATGTAATACAAATTAAGACGCACAATATGAGAGACACAGTAAGTTATTACTTGAAAGTCAAAATATTGGTTCTGGTACTCTCTCAGCAATGAATAGGCTCTTGTTTAGGTGTAGACGAGCAGAATAAGGGCGATGTTCTTCTGCCGGCTCGTTCGCGAAGCTAATAGTTTTAATCACCTTGTCATAAAATGTTGGCTATTGTATAATCTATCCCATTTTAAGCGACGTGGCAGGCTAAAGAGCCCGGCATAGGCATCCCAAATTCCTGAACATTATGGAGAAAAAAAATAGTATTTCAAATAAATAAACAAATAATAAAGTGATCTCTTTTAAAGGCGAGTTGTGTTTTCGGTTTATAAAATTATAACTCTCACCAATATGACTTGGAAACTCTCCAAGACTCTTCAAACCTTTTTAAAGTAGTTGAATTTCGGCCGCTCTTCCTAAACTCTCCGAGTCCGAATTTCGAGCTGGAATGATTTTTCTAAAAAAAAATTTAGCCCATCAATAAAAGAAACGTCAAAATAACATAGCGTTTCGCAGTACTCTGCAGCGAAGGACAAAAAGCACGCAGCCTTTTATTTTATTTTAGAGCGCAACCCTTAGGCGCCCATTTCCGGCCTGAGGGCGTCGGCCTTGGCGTCGCCGTCAGCGTAACCGTAATCTGTCGACGTAACGCTTTTTCGTGATGCGTCGGCATCGCCATCGCCGTCGGCGTAGTCGGAACGCTTCGTCGTAAGGTTTTTTGTGACGCGTCGCCGTCGCCGTCGGCGTAGCCGTAAGGCGACACCGCCACACTTTTTTGTGATGCGTCGGCGTAGCCGTAACACCTCGGGGTAACGCGTCGGCATGACGCGTTGCCGTCGACGTAACCATTCGGTGCATCATGGGAGACGTGCCGAAATGCACCGCGGGGACGCGCGCGTTGTATTAAGGAAATTTTCTCATATTGTACCGCGCGGGAAGGTGGAGGGGGAGGAGGATGAAGGAGGAGGAGGCAGGAGGAGGAGAAGAAGGGGAGGAGGCGAGGATTGGGGAAGGAGTAGACGAGGGGGAGGAGGAGAGACATAGCCCCCCCTCCGTACCTTCCCCTCCTCCTCCTCAAGAGCTGCGCTCTAATTCGGCATTACAGGGAATTGTAAACGTCTTTCTGACTTTTTAATAACGTTTTTTATGTTTATACAAATAATGTTCACATTATGTTGAAAGGTTTTCAGTAATATGTGAGTCGCAAAATATTTTATTAAATATGTGTGAATCGTTTTTTATAAAAATAATAATTTCATAAAACAATGCTTCTGTATTTTATTGTTTAAATAAGGTGTATGATCTCAACCTATAAGAATAGTAAAAATATATAAAAAAAAGATTGCAATTTTGTCCAGATGTAAACAGAGCATAATTTTACATTCACTATATTAAGTTTGCCTCATTCACGATACCGTGACGCGAAGCTAAGCTTCTCGTTAAGAATATCACGCGGAGTTCATTCCGAATTCAAAACAGTCCCAACTTTGCTTGTTCATGCGCCAGATCTTAGAAGCTTTTGCCTTTACGTTATTATATTTATTTAAAAAAAAAACAATTTTTTTTTATCGAGGTACATGATAAAAACCCTCACTCAAAATTTAATCAAACATTACATGTATGAGAGTCATTACTTCTGTTTCTGGCGCCTTAGAACTCTAGGTCGTTCTAGAGCTCCGTCGGCAGCAATTTTTTTTTTTTCATTTCAGCATTAAAAAAAATTTTTTAACGTTTGAATAAGATAACGTTTAGTGCTGATACTTTGGTTGTCTGCTCAAACAACTGGGGCTAAGTTTTGACGAATTTTGAGCTCTGAGCGATGTCTAGTTTGTTGTTTGCGGTGCAAACAACCTGGTTTGGTTTTCTCGCGGAGAAGAATCTGAAAGAAGAGAAATCGTATTGTTTTCGTCTAATTACACTGACTGTTGTATTCTTTTTGCTCCTTTCTCGTTTTGACCAGCACGCCCCAAGCACTTCGTGTTCAACTTCACCCGAGCGGGTGCCACGACCAACTTCAGCTGCGAGGCGACGGGTGCGTTTCCGGTGCCCGAGCTGTCGCTCTTCCGGCTGGACGAGGGCTCTGCCGTGCGGCACGCCCTGCAGCCGATGCAGCGGGTCAGCCCCCGCCAGGACGGAAGCTACGTGACCCAGGTGTCCAGCCAGGTGCCCGACGACGGGTTCTCGCGGTCCGGAAGACACCTTTTCGTCTGCCTTCTCTCCATTCCCGGAACAGACTTCAAGAACCAGCGACTCATCGAGTTCTACCCTGGTAAGTTTACGGCCTCTAAAGTCCCTGGCAAGATGACAACAGTAAAGCTAGCTTCAAAGGCCCTGTCATAAAGGGGCAACCTTTGGACAACTCTATCCGGCAACACGAGGAAATTGTGTTGCCGGTGACCCTGTCACATCGCGGCAACAATAACAGTGGGGCAACATGTTCCTGACGCCCGGTAACACTGTTGGCCGATTTGTTGTTCGACAACCCTGTCACACCGCGCTGACGGCGGGGACAACACGGGGAACACTCCGCCATCTTGATTGTTTACCTTTGTTCGTGTGTGGCGCGGAGTCTCTGGAAATGTGAATCTACAAAACGCTAGTGCGTTCGAAGGGCCGAAAATTACCACGGTACGACATCAATCAGTGATTTCCATTAGAAAACGTGACACGGGGTGTATTTTCCACTATTTACGTTATCAAAATGTTTTTTATTCGCTAACAAGGCAGATAGCCGTAACCGAGGCAAGTGGCATCGCTGATCTCTGTTCGGGCTTTACGACACCGTATGAAGTGTTTCTCACTGATTCTTTTTTTCATGAAATTTCTATTTCTACTGTAAATTTGAGTTAGCACCGGCAGTACCCCAAAGCGTATTTTGTTGCGTGATGTTGAGCTGAACCGACAGTGCTCAACAACTGCGACATCGACACAATCGGCCTTCAGAGCAATCGGTGGAATAATTATTTAATCGGCGCTGTCCATTTGCTAACCGCCTCATATGTAATCGCTTTATTCCCCAAAATGTCAAGGGTATTTTTAGAACAAATCAGATGTCTGGTAGCAGCTCTTTTAAGCTCCAAGCATTAACATTCACACTCAAAGTGGTCGTTTTAATGCTTCGATTTTTTTATCTTTTCTTTTCTGGATTGTCCTTCTTATACTTTACGAGCGGATGAGTAGGCAAACCATTTTATGCTACCAGCAGTAATGTGAGCTGGTCTCTTGGCAGTTTTAATTTCAACACCAGTCTGAGTGTTCACGACCGTAGTTGTGACCCATTTAGAAATCCTCTTTCCGTAACTACGCAGTAAAAACGCGAAAAAAAAAATAATGTAGCTGCACGCCAGCTCTAGTTTTTGATAAATAACGTTTCCGAAGGCTTTTTTTTTTTTTTTTTTGTAAGAGAGTATTAATAGGGAACTAGCTCTACCATCAAAGCTATCTGTCTTGTCGTGTTTCCGGCCCGAAATTCGCTCAGCCAGTGATCAGGGCAACATACGTTGTCAAACACAACCTGCTGCTGCTTTTGTTGCCGAAAGCTGTCATACCGCGACAACATTTTAGCTGTTGTCCGTGTTGTTGTGCTGTTGCCGCAATCTGACAGGTTCATCACACAACACGGGGAGCGAGCAACAAGTTGCCCGACTGTTGGGCAAACTGTTGTGTTGCTGCTGCCGTCGTGTTGCCTCAGCGTGACCGGGCCTTAAGGCCTTTAGAGTCACTGACTAGGTAAGAAGATATTTGACTGCCCAAGCGCGCTCGATGCTCACAAGTTGTCAAAGCGTTATTCAATGAACAGACCGCACACTGAAGGCGGGTTTATGAGACTCTACCCTCGCGTTTCTATTCTATAAGTGACTGTAAATATAGAATGATAAACGAGAGAGAAGAAAAAAAAACAGGAAATATTCAACATATTTTATTTTGAAACATTATCGCCATGATCATCATCATCATCATCGTGTTCTGCTTTTTTTTCATTTTGAATCTGCTACACTTTTGCCCAAAGATGGATCATGATGAGGAAACAAATTATCCGGAAAGAATTACTTCAATAAAATATCCTGTGATAATCTAAGAATAAGAATACGAACAGAAAATGTGATAAATTGTATTACGTGTTTTACACAATATTCTAATGCATGGGTGTGTTTTTCGCGAAATACATTCAGTATAAGCGAATGATTCGCGGCAGTCAAGCGAGTTGAGTAGGAAAATACGGAAAACAAATTACTTGAAGTTCCAACAACCGGAAAGATTATGAACGTAACATGTGATTAAAATAATTCTTAAATAGGAGTAATTAGATGCGTAGAGACTATAGAAATTTGTTACAAGTAACAGAGCATAGATCCTACTTTTCTTTATCAATGTAGGAGTCTCCAGTGAGTGGCTTTTAAAGTAAATCTCTGAGACAGAAACACCCTGCCTGAGATTTTTATGCATTGCAAAAAGACCCGTCTAATGACGCAAAATTGTCTATGATTCACTTGGGGAGAACGATTTTATTTGTTATGATTTCACTACCATTATTTTTTTTCTGGATCACAATTAAGTAGTTAAAAGTCGAGCTCATCGTCACTCAGGCATAATGCATTCTACGTGTTTTATTCGTCAGTGATTACATGATATAACGTAGGCACAGCTCCTGCTTTTAATATAACTGGTGGAACTTATAGCGTTGAAAATAAAACACAGTAGTGATTCCAGTAATAATCACGAATTCCTTGCTGCGTAGCCACTGTGCGTAACAAAAAAACTCTACCGCAAAGACCTACTCATTGTGCAAAATTCATTTAGAAGCAACAATTCAAGTCACCGGTTGCCCTGCTGATATAATGGGAAGCTTTGAGAACAGCCTTGATATATAATTTATTGATAAGCTTCCGCATCTTACAACCTCGCACGAAGATAATGCTTGTTTGTATGCGATACAAAAAAAATATATTGACAATAATTTTGGTAGCCAGAGCATCATAATGAGACAATATATGTTTCACGTCATTTGCCTACTGTCATCCAAGCTTCGACGACCGTTTATTGCCATGCAAACCACTATCAAACACGTGATTTGAGTACACTAATTTTATGTGGCGTTGGTACCAAATTACATAGAGCTACCGCATGAGAAAAAAAAAAAAGAAACTAACCAAGGTTAACATTTAGGCGGTATAAGGATCTTCGGTTGGCAATGCTGTGCGCTGGCTACCACGTAGTTCGATATATTTTTAGATAACAACTCAGGGAAAATAAAAACACACCCAGGTTTAATAATTGGCTGTGCTTCATTACAGTATAACAATGTAATTATTCGTAATATAATCTACACAATGGCCATGCCCCATACAGTGAAGATAATTATGAACGTATGAAGATAACCAGTTAATAAATTCACAGCTGCACTATTAAATGTTCGAATATTAGGGCGAAAGTGATGTTTTACAAAAATATTGTAACGCAAACACACCTTCAAAATAATTTTTTCTTTCTTTTTCGTCGTCTTGGGAGAGAAAAAAAGAGGATTTACTCAATATCGGGCACAAATATTTCCAGCCCGCGCTTAAACTTTCTTATCCACCCTAAAAAGCAATTTACCCCTCTGATGTTTTAGTAACCGTCGTCCGCTAGGTGATTATATTTATTCAACACACACCAACCACCTAACTGTGATCATTATTATAATCAACCTCAAAGTACAAACGCAGGTATAGAAAAAAAATGATTACCTTTTACTCAGCCGAAAGCAGGCACTCCTCCTAAACCCACGATCTCAGACCCGTCTGAGCGAGCACTTTCGAGGAATGCTGATCTTGCATCGGCCACAAAAACCGGCTTGTGGAGAACCGCAAGTCTTTCAAGGAGGTTACTATGCCTCATGCAGCCATCTCTGCTCGCAAAAATCTGGAAAAACACTAAAACAAAACGGGTAACCAGAAAGCACTGCCAGCTTCCTTCGCTCACTCAGCACCTTTCCCAGAATACCGCCATTTGAGATTAATTGCTAACCAAATTCGTAGCGCATTCTGCCGGGCAGCCCTTTCCAGACGCCACCGCATATTCGATGCAAATCAACATCTGGCTCATTAGAGACGACGATCCTCCGCGAATGTAAATTTTTTCAAGCTCGTTCCAGAAAGGCGTAGCAGCGTCTTCCGCATTCGCCATTCTCGATGGAAAACCGCCTTCTTTGTACCGCCAAAAATAATTACGGCAGCATGGGAGAAGGGACTGCGCAGTCGTCCCGGTGAGGCGAGAGAACCACGTCGGGGTTGCTTCAAGGACTTGGAAGTGCCCACCACCAGGGCGATCCAATCCTCAGCCCACCTCTTCTATGACGGCCTTATGAGAGGTACGCGCTCGCCAGAGCAATTGCTCGTCTCCATTTCCTTGCCTGACCCAACGCCCTGCCCGCGGGTAAGGCGGGAGGGCGATGACGTGGCGAAAGACAGCCCGTGACTGGTCCAACGAGCACGTAGAATTCACCGCACTGTCAGCTTAGGGGTGAATGGAGTGGGCGGTAGAACTTATGCGGGGCGTCGTCGTCCGACGTTGAAGGAGTCCCCGTCTGGTTAGAGGCGCTTACCCGGCTCCCTCCTACGATTCCACTTGGTTCCGGTATCCGCTTTAGCAAGGTCCTAAACGCGATTAACACCAAGATTTATGCGGTGTTTTTTTTTGTTTTGTTGTTTTTTTTTTTTTTTTTTCAGTGGAAAAGGGGAGGGATAAAACTGCGCGCATTCCGTGCAACGAGCTGCCATCGAGCGTCGTCGCCGCCGTCTCCGACGGCGGCGATGAGCGCACACCCGCTGTGGGGAAGAAGCCCGTTTGGAAGGGAAGGAGGGAGGAAGCAGCGTCGGGGGTTCCATAATTCCTGGGCTGTTCTCCTCCCGACTGGGAGTTGGGAGGCTGCCCCCGAGGGGGACTGCGTTCGTCGTTTCGCAGCTTGATGCGCGGGTCCGTCCTCCCGTGCGTGCGTTCGTTTCCCAAACAACGAGAAGCGGCCGGCAAACGGCGCGTTTGTGCGTGAGTGCACGGGGAGTTTGAAGGGAGGGGGAGGGACGGCAAGGCAATGTGATTCGCGATTAATGTCCTCTTCCAGGCATACGTGCTCAGCTCACTCCCGTCTCGTTAATTGTCGGAGGGAGTGAGGGAACAAAGTGGTGGTGATGAAGAGAGAGAAAGGGCGGTTTTACGTGTCCTTTCCGGGGGAGGAGGGCACTCGTGTTAGTGTCTGCACTTCCTCGTTTGTTCGTGTTCGGAAGCGCCAGG